TTGAGACAGGACTTCACTGTGTAGCCCAAGACAGCCTCAAACTCTTGGTCTTCCTGCTTCAGCCTCCTGAGGGCTAGGATTACCAAGAACTGAAACCACGAGGGTGGAACACCAAACCGGACTCCCGGCGTTTTCGGTTGTTTGGTCCTTGTTTAAACATATGCCATAGAAAGCACAGGGCGCTCTGAGGGCCTTTTCAGTGCACCTGTACTTACATATCTGTGCTAAAATGCCCCGATAACATGTAGAAAACACTGTTTTTGTAGGACCTGATGGCACTGGCCTATAGTCCCACTGATAAGGAACGGGGGATCACAAAGTCAAAGCCTGCCTTGCTACAGATAGAGTTCAAAGCTAGCCTAGACTCAAATAAGAAAATGGAAAACTGGCTGGGGATATAGCTCAGTGTTAGAGTGCTTGTCTAGCATGCAAAGGGTCCTAGGTTCGATCCCCAGCACTTGAAGAAAAAAGCAAACTGCTTTTGATCACAGAATTGCAGCTTCCTTCTTTCTTGCCCTGTCCTAATCCCAGAGAAGCTTTAGCAGTTCTTATTTGTGTTTGCACTATTTGAATTTTAAAATACCTATCATATATTTTATTCATTTAACTAGTATTTTTTATGACAAGTTCTCAGTATGTTACCCAGACTAGCACTAAACTCTCAATCTCCTGCCTCAGCCTAATGAGTACTGTAATTACAGGCATGTGCCACTATGTCCAGCTATCAATTTTAAAATCATGAAAAACTACTAAGGATATTCTAGAAATGAAATAGAAGTAGATTAGTGCCCAAGAGGCAGTATCTGTTCAGTATTCCTCACCATCATGATCAAGACACTGTCCATATGTGGACTGTCAACAACTGAATGGACTGTGAGAAAATTCATTGAAGACTTCCTTAAAAAAAAGTGCAACTGAGTGTAACACTCCGATTGTGACCCAACTACTCAGTTGACAGGAAGTAGGGTCTAAGTGATGCTCAATTCAACAAGATTAGCATAAGAAGCAATCCTATAAAAAGAAAAAAAAGAGTGGTTGGGGCCAGTGAGATGATGCAGCGGATTAAGGCACTTGGCTACAGAGCTTGATGAGGAGTTCAAGCTCAGAGTCTCACATGGTAGAAGGACAGAATTGACTCCCCAAAGTAGTCCTCTGATCTCCACACGTATGCCATGGCCCAAGTACAAAGTGAACATACATACATGTTCATACACAATAAACAATGAATTAATAAGTAAATAATTATTTAAAAGAGAGAGGTGTCTTTCTTTTAGCATTTCATATAGAAAACAGAGTTTGTTTCAGTGCTTAAGAAACTACATGTGGTGCCGGGCGGTAGTGGTGCACACCTTTAATCCCAGCACTCGGGAGGCAGAGCCAGGTGGATCCCTGTGAGTTCGAGGCCAGTCTGTGCTATGGAGTGAGTTCCAGGAAAGCCTCCAAAGCTACACAGAGAAACCATGTCTCAAAAAAAAAACAAAAACCAAAAAAAAAACAAGAAAGATAGAAAGAAAGAAAGAAAGAAAGAAAGAAAGAAAGAAAGAAAGAAAGAAAGAAAGAAAGAAAGAAAGAAAGAAAGGAAGAAAGAAACTACATGTGAACCGGGGGTTAACAGTTAACAGAGAAAGAAATGATGGAAACATTGGAGAAAGGAGGGAGAATGTGGGAAAAACCAAACTAAGAACGTATGAAAAAGGCTCCTGGAAAACTACTACTTTGTAAGCTAATTTCAAATAAACTTTGCGGCTGGAGAGATGGCTCAGTGGTTAAGAACACTTGCTGCTCTTGCAGAGGACCTGGGCTTGGTTCCACAACTGCCTGTAATTCCAGCTCCAGGGGATCCAACATTCTCTTCTGGCTTCAAAGACATTATATGAACATGCTGCACATATGTACAAGCAGGAAAACATTCATATGCATAAAATAAATTAAAATACAGTTATTTAAAAAAGTTTAGGCTGGAGAGATGGCTCAGCAGTTAAGAACGCTTACTGCTCTTGCAGAGGGTCCCAAGTTCAGTTCCCAGCACCCACCCTGAATGTCATAACCTCCTGTAACTCCAGTTCCACAGGATCCAATGCTCTCTTCTGGTCTCTGCAGGCACCATTATGTGCACTCCCATGCACATACATGCTGTGCACGTGCATACATGCATGCTCCCTGGAGTGTGTATGTGTGAGCGCGCGCGCGCGCGCGCGCGCGCACACACACACACACACACACACACACACTGAAATTTTTTTAAGAGTTTAAACAGTGATATGCTATATGGGTGGACAATACTGTTTCTAGGAGACAATAGATTATGAAACAACCTCAGTACCAGGCATGACATACCTCCCTTTGAGTTATTGGCCTTGCAGGCCCCAGAGGCTATTACCAATGTTCTTGGTTGCTCATCATAACTAGATCTTAAGACCTTATTGCTAAAGATATCACATTATTTTACTGGACACAGAGAAATCAATCTGGAACTGATCTGAAAACTTCTGCTGGCTAGCTTTCATAGTGCTGGGAAGTGCTCCACAGGCCACTGGGGAAGGAAAGACACCCATGATCTTACCCACTGCTAGAGCCTGCGATACTGAACTGCCAGAGAAGATGTGCTCACTTCAACAATGGCGTGACTGCTACAGGGCAACTGGCTACTTTATGGTTGGATTTGAGGCTGATCCACAAGAGGGGATTCAGGCCTGTTACTGTACACTTGGTCAAAAGCCTATGGCTAGGACAGTAATAGGTCATGGGGGGGGACCTACTGCTGTTGTTTTGCTGAAGGGACGAATTATCAACCCCCCTCCTAAATATTTATGTGTATACCGGTGGATCAGTGCTGCTCAGGACAGCTCTCTCTGCAGTGGGTAGCAGTTAGTAGAGAGGCCATAACCGGTCAGAGTGCTGATTATGTGACTGTGAGTGCTTGGCCCCTAAGTGGGACATCTGTATCAACCCTCAGCAATGGCTCAGGGAACATCAAAGGAAAGATAGAAGAATGTAAAAGCTGGAGCATAGAGAGGAATGCTGTGAAAAGCTGTCTTCTGGATACAACATAGCCACTGGACTCCTGAGTCCAGAACAGCTACAGTTATCTACACAAGACCTGCTCAAGATCAAGCCAGGCAACAACATTCCCACACAGAAAGGAGAAGAGCTCATGAGGGGCCTCCCCTAGCTGAGGAACTACTGCACATGAGGACAGCCTGGGCTACAGAGCAAGTTCCAAGCCAGAGAGGGATACATAGCAAGACATTGTCTCAAACAAAACAAACAAAAAACCACCAAAGCCAGGCAGTGACGGCGCACACCTTTAATCCCAGCCCTCTGGAGGCAAAGGCAGGTAGATCTCTTTGAGTTTGAGGCCAGCTTGGTCTACAGAGCGAGTTCCAGGACACCCAGGGTTGCACAGAGAAACCCTGTCTTAGCACTCAGGAAACAGAGGCAGGTGGATTTCTGTGAGTCCAGGACCAGCCTGGTTTATATAGAGAGTTCCAGGCCAGCCAAAGATACACAGTGAGACCTTACTTCAAAAACAAATGAACAAATGAACAAACAAAATAATAACAACCAACACACACACACACACACACACACACACACACACACACACACCAAAAACATCAAACCCAGGGGGCTGGAGAAATGGCCCAGCAGTTAAGAGTTTGTACTTCTTTTCCAAAAAGCCCAAGTTTGATTCCCAACACCCACATGAGGCAGCTTGCAAAAGCCTGCAACTCCAGCTCCCAGGAATCTGGTGCCCTCTTGTGGCCTCTACAGGCATCTGCATTCACATACACATACCGTACTCATGCATACACATACACACATACATATGCTTACAAATAGAATAAATGTTGAAAAGTAAAGGACTGGGAAGAAGTCTCAGTGAGTAAAGTACTTGCCACAGAAACATGATGATCTGAGTTTAGCTCACCGGAACCCATGTAAAGGGGAGAGAGCAGCTCACATCTGTAATCCAAACAACTTTACAATGGGACGGGAGGCCAAGACAGAATTCAGTCTCTGACCAGCTACTCTGTCGTACGCATACAACAGCAAAAAAACAAAAACCAAGAAACAAGCCGGGCAGTGGTGGCTCACGCCTTTAGTCCCAGCACTCGGGAGGCAGAGGCAGGCGGATCTCTTGTGAGTTCGAGGCCAGCCTGGTCTACCAAGTGAGTTCCAGGAAAGGCGCAAAGCTATACAGAGAAACCCTGTCTCGAAAAACACCAAGAAACAAACAAACAGAAAACCCCCACAAAACTCCCAAACAAGGTTGAAGGTGACAACCAACAACTAAGAGGTTGTCCTGTGACCTCCACACATGCACCGTGGTACATGTGCTGTGGTACATCACCTGCACTTGCATATACAAACACGTACACAGAAAGATTGTTTTTAAGGAATGTTGAGTGGCCCTTTCTGTGAGTGCCCTACCAGCTTTTCCTCCCCTACCCCAGCCTTTAACTCATCTTCATCTGGGAGCCTCATTCACTCCTCACATGCATCCTGAAACCCAGCTTCTCCTGGCTCGCCGCCTTCCGCTCTGCTTAGACCTTCTTGGTGCCTCTTCACAATCCTCCCCCCCACCTACTGACTTCATTGACATCCCGAGGTTTCTGTGGAAGCCTCTCTGACTTCTCTGCATAGAATAGAACTGACTGTTCTTGTCCTTGTGGCCTCATTGCAATCTGTCCTTTATCTCTCTCTACTCTGTCCTTTACAGGACAAACTCCTCTCTAGAGAAATTATTTACTTTCCCACGAATGTCTCAGGAGCAGAGATTAGGCCATTCCTTTTTCGAGTGTTAAAGTACAGGAGGGCCCGAACAGAGTCGAGGCTCCACTCACAAAGTCTATGGCGCAGCACAGCTGTAGAGAGGGACCCTGCAATGATGCCGCCATCATTCTAGCGGGACAGGCTGGGCCCCAGGGTCTGTACTCTCTGCCATGGTAAGCGCCTTTGGGCTGCTCCTCCCTTCACTCTCCCATGGTTTTCCTTACCTGTCCTCCTTGTTGATCTGGTCCCCAAAGCCCACAGTGCTCACAATCGTGAGTTTCAGCCCCACATTGCTCTCCTGGAGGTCATAGGTATTGGATCGGAGCTGAACACCCGGCTGTGTGTGGGTGGCTGGCTCCCCCTCGAACTTGGTGTTGAACAGGGTATCCATGAGGGTGGACTTGCCCAAACCTGTCTCCCCTGAAAAGCAAAAGATATCACACAGTGACTATGTAGCCATTACATGTCATATTTCACATATGTGTGAAGGGAGACGTGTATATACTAAAACACTAAATGAAGAATCGACAATTATATGAAACAACAGACATGCCAGCAGCAGATAGCTCACAATCCTAGAGAACTGGGCTAGTTTCCATTTTAGCCTTCATAATTTTTCTGTTATCAAGCTTTACCTTGAGTATATACTGCTTTTAGAGGCAGAGAAAGAAATGCAATATGTACAGATAGAGGGGTACAATCACTCCTAGAAATAGACTGTAAAGAAATATAATATACTCTTATTAATGCAGATCTCTAAGTGGTGCGCTTATATATAGTTCTCATTTTTCTTTAGTTTTTCTGTATTCTTGAAATAGAACATGTAAATACATGCCAATTGTCAAATAGCCCCTCCTCTCATGTCCCTGCCTCGGCTTCTGCCTGGCCTAAGCAGTGCTCAGTTCCACAGATGTTCAGGAGACTGTATTTAACCTTGGCTTCTCCCAGCCTAGATGACCTTTCAGTGAGACCATTTTTTATCTACTGAAGAATGAACTTAAGCCACAAATTCTTCTTCTCCAATCTCAAACAAACCCGGCACTTGTTTGCTTAACTAACACGTCAGCTGTGTGACACTAATAAATCCAAACACTAGAACTTCACGCTTGGGCGATAAATGGGGGAAGGGTTATGGTGGACTGGTAAAGGTTTGGGGAGGTTATTCCTGGGAGACTAGAGGATACCAAACGACTGCCTAGAACCAAGGAGTCTTTGGAGAATGAGACACCACAATCACATTGAAGAGAAGCTGGTGACATGGAGTTAGGCAGGAAGCTGATAAGAACCCGCAGCTGAGCGAGTCACCAAAAGCACTTAGAATCTCTATGGCTTCAGATTGTACTTGGCGCCTCGTCCCACTCCAAGTGAATCAGAATAAATACTAGGAATAAAAGTCGGTAGCTAAGCTGGAGATGTAGCTCAGTGACTACAGTGTTGGCTTAGTGTAACTGAAGCCCTATTTATCCCCAGCAGTGAAGAAACTGAGCGAGGTGGCCCTCAGGAGATGGAGGCAGATAAGAAGGATAAGATCAACCTGTTACATATCGAGTTGGAGGCCAGCCTGGTCTTTAAGTCAATAATTAGTGACAGGCTAGGCAAGGTGGTACATGCCCTTAACCCCAGCACTCGGGAGGCGCAGGCAGGTGGATCTAAATTCGAGGTCAGCCTGGCCTACATAGTAAGTTCAAAGACAGCAGGTGCTATGTAGAAAGACTCTGTCTCAGACAAACACACCAAGAAACAAACAAGTTAACGAGCCTGGACCGTTCCCCGGACACCTTCGATCACACTACCATTTTACTAGCATAATCCCGCTTCTTTCTAACCCTCTCCAGCCAAGGAGGGATTGTGTGACCTTTGACCTATCCTCATGGTTGGGGTCAGGTTTCATCTGGAATAATTCCTGGTCTGGCGAACCTCTCCTTGAGACCAACAGTACACATGTGCAAGGCAGTGCATAGAAGTGCATTATGGGGAATAAAAAACGCTCCCTCTCCCCGTACCCTCTCAGCTTCCTAAATATCGACCCATAAACATTTCCTACGACGAGAGCTTTCTATGCAGAGAAAGAAAAGAGCACTCAATTCAGCCTGGTTCCCAAGGTCCCCAGCTCTATTTCTTGGCCAGGTGTGACTAAGGAGATGAACTGCCAGGGTATACAGACAGGGTTCCTTACACAGATTGTGCTTCCAGCCAGGGTCTGCTGTAATCATCAGGGACGACTGTCTAAGAAGAGGCTCTTTTCTGTCCTCCCCTAAAGAAAGTACTCAGATCCCAAGAATAACCGGTGCAGTGAGGTCTTTGCCATGGGAGGGGACAGATTCAGGTGTGCAGCGGAACACGGCACCCATTACTCCACCAAAGGATGTGGCACAGCTCACCTGTAAACAGGGCCAGAATCTGAGGTGGGAACGCAAGGATTGCTGCCATGCGACAAGTCAACTTCTCTGTGGACACCCGCGCTTCCAGTCCATTTCAACCAGTTTTGTGTATGCCTAATGAATCTTCCATGTATAGCCTCAACCTCACCCCTCTTGGTCCCCTGAACTCATTACTGAATGTCCCTGCTGCTCCTAGACAGTGGTGGGCTCCAGTCTCCCCAGCCCTCCAGAATGGGCTCACTGCCTCCACAGCCTACGAATTCTCAGAGACTCCTCTGTATACTTGACAGGGCCTGTCGAGAACTTCCCTTAGACGGTCTCGGGAGCAGGTCTACAGAGCCAGAGACCCACCCTGTTTGCACAGCTGGAGAGACGGGCGCTGGGTGGGGTAGGGCGAGCAGCAGGGGAGGAACGGCAGGGAAACTGGCCACCCAGATGCCTGCCAGCAACAGGAGGGCCGTGGCAACTAGATGTTAAATAATGAAGGTCTGGAAGAGAAGAATTCGCCATGTCTAGGGAATTGCAATAAACGCAGGCATCAGAAGAAGGCGGAAAATGCAGCCAGCTCCTCCAGAGGCTCTCGAGTGCTTCTGCTCTCAGTTGCCATCAGGGGGGACCTGGAGCTGGAGGGATACCCTCTCTCAATGGCTGGCACAGACCCAGCCTGAGACAAGAATGCTGTCTCCCCCTATAACTGCCTTGGGCCCAGTAGTAAATGTGTGGGGATATGACATGTGCCCTAACTGGGATCAGGTCAGCAGATTCCACCAGGCCTCATCAAGAAGGTAGGAACTGGGCAACTGGCTTCCAGCAGGAAACTCAATGAGTCCCAAGGGCTCAATTTCCCTCCCCTTCTCTCCAGCCCTCCCAGAGCATGTCACAATGGAGAGCAGGGTTTCTTAACTCTTTGAACTCATGCTCTACCTCTCACTTTGCTTATTGCTGACATTGTACTGCAAACAATAACTTTTAAAAATAACATAGGGGCTAGAGAGATGGCCCGGTGATTAAGAGCACTGGCTGCTCTTGCAGTAGACTTGGTTTTAGTTTCCAGCATCTACATGGCAGCTTACAGCTGATTGTAACTCCAGTTCCAGGGGAACCAAAACTGTCTTCTGGTCTCTGCAAGCACCAGGCACACATATGTACATGCAGGCAAATATTCATACATACAAAATAAGTAAATGTCTTTTTTAAATAATTTAAATTTGCCAGGTGGTGGTGGTGGCGCACACCTTTAATCTCAGCACTCAGGAGGTAGAGGCAGGTGAATCTCTGAGTTCGAAGCTAGCCTGGTCTACAGAATGAGTTCCAAGACAGCCAGGGCTACATGGAGATACCCAGTCTCAAAAAACAAAATGAGAAAGAAAGAAAGAAAGAAAGAAAGAAAGAAAGAAAGAAAGAAAGAAAGAAAGAAAGAAAGAAAGAAAGAAAGAAAGAAAGAAAAGAAAGAAAGGAAAATTCTAGATATGCTAGCACTACATTTGCATCTGACAAAATGTCAGCCCTGTCCCAGTCTGGGTTCTAGTCCTTTTTCCTATAAAAGGGGAAGGTTGAAATAGCAATAGTAGGTGGGTTTTTTTGTGGGGGAAGGGTTGGCTTGGTTTTGAGACCCCTCGAACTCATAAGTCTCCTGCCTCAGCATCCCAAGTGCTGGGACTTCAAGGCATACACCAATAGTATTTGCTTGGAGCACTTTTATGTGCTCTGTGCCAGGACTGCTGTGAATACATTTGTATTTTCTTTTTTTTTTTTTTTTGTAGTACTGAGGATGGAAAGAGGCAAGCTCTCAACTACTGAGCCACACCCTTAGCTTCCACAGATTTTATTTGTTTCTTACAGCAAGCTTAGAAGGTAGACACTATGTTTTTTTATTTTTAGTGCTGAGCATGGAGTCCAGGCACTCAAGTCCATCAGGTTGAACAAGAGCTCTACCCGTAGCTGTGCAGGGGGACACTTGGAGGCAGAGGCAGCCAGATGTCTGTGAGTTCCAGGCCAGCCTGGGCTACAAAATGAGACTCTATCTCAAACAAGCAAGCAAACAACAAAAAAGTTCTACCCTTGAACTACAACCCAGTCAGCCCCTAGATGCAAGTGACCCTTAATTTATAGATAGGTCAACCAAGTCACCCACTGGCTTTGTGAATGTTCAGGTTCCTCCTCCTCTCTGGGCCCAGTTTTCCTCCTCTCTACACTGTAGAGGAGATGACAGTCCAAGGTCACAAACTAATACATGGCCGAGCCAGTGTTTTCACTGAGTCAGGCTACTTCTGTAGCCCATGCTTTGAACCAATACACTCGAGCGAGGCCCACAAGCATGACAGATGGGTTCATTTCGTCACTCAACAAGCATTTACAAAGCCTCTGATAATAGCCAGATACAATTATAGGGGCTGAAAATACAGCAAAGAGCAAGATAGCCGCAGTCCCTGTTTACTTGGAGCGAAGTCTCACTCAGCTGTAAATGGTGGGATAAGCCAAGAGAAAATGCTGCTGAGCTCAACAGGGAGGTGTCCAAAAGGAAATACTCCAGGAACTACAGTTAGCCATGGCCGTCTGTGGAGAGGGACAAGGTCCTGCCTGGCTATGTGACCTTGTCCTCTCTCTTTCCTGTTCTTGGTGGAGCCTGGCAGACTGTGGTGTGTTTCAGCTAGCACATGCAGCTTCCTGTACCTCTTCCCGAACCCGTGTCCTGTGACACCGATAGCTTAAAGTCAGCTGTGGGGGAAGTAATGACACCATGGAAATCAGTGGGTGCCACAACCCATGGACTGTTTTCTCCCATGGTGCCTTGTCAGCCAATGGCCAAGCGCTGTGGCAGCTTCAGGCTAACAACGGCCTTTCCCAGAGATAGGGGATGGAAACATTAGCCCCCGACCTTTATAGACTACCAGCTGCCCTTTGCACACCTCCCGCAGGAAAGCCGCAATCCTGCTTGTCCTGAGTGTGTTTTCCAAGTTCAACAGAGCCCAGTTGAGCCTGGAATCCTGAGCAGCTTCAAAGTAAATATTATCATTATGAGCCTTTGTGCTCTTCATGGCCATTAGCGCTGCCAGCACATTTAGATGGGCCACTCTCGTTAGGGCTCTTTCCCAGAAGTACAAAGCACCAGGCCCCAGAACGCTGCTGTTGCTGGCTCGGGTTTTTCTTTTGAGGCCTCCTATATGGATGTTGACAGTCACGAGATACTCAAAAGTTCCAAAGCTAAGGGGTTGGGATATGGTTTTTGATGGGATGGGGATGGGGGAAATCTCACCTCACTTGGTAACTACTGTCAACCTTAGAGAATCTATCAGACTGAGTTCATCATATATGCTTACATCTTTATGCTTAGCTAAAAATCATAATAATCATGGATGGAAATTATTGGTGTAGTCAATTTATTGCACTATAATTTAGGCTGTGGATTCATACAAATTCTCTTCCCCTCCTCTCTCAATCTCAAAAGCACACATGCACATAGTCACACATACATGTACAATACTTACTCTGCCGGGTGTGGGCATAAGATCAGTGGGCCAACATCAAGATAAACAATAATGTGAAAAAAAAAAACTATTCTAGCTCTCCAGCTAGCTCTCCAGCTAGCTCTCCAGGCTAGCTCTGCTGTAATTGGACACTAAAAATACTTCAGGTAAACAATTTCTGTGAGCAAACAGAACCATTTTATAACAGTCACCAAGGAGGTAAATTGGATAGTCACATACAGGTACTAGGCATAAGAACATGGTCACTAAAATTCCTGCAGGAGCAGAGATCACCTTCAGTAACCTCACTGGACTCTGCCAAGTCAGTGACCATTCCCAGCGCTGTAGTTGGGTTCAGATGGCAGTCTCAGAGCCACTTGTGACCTTGAAGCAATTGAGGGTTCCCTGAGCCGTGGTAAGGCTATGAATACAGCAAGAGAGGAGGATGCACACACTGTAGGCATTTTTTGATTCAGTTCAGGGATTGGTTTATCTAGTGGTCCTATCTATGGGCATTATAGGAGGAGAGCCATTTCTTCAAACTTTACAAGTAGAGAAAGAAAAGACATATGACTCCTTGAGGACAAAAGGGTCTTCCTTTCTTCCCTCCCTTCCCTTCTGAGAGAGTCTGCCCAGGCCCTTCAGCAACTTCATGTCTTCAGATGTATGCTGAAGCACTGTAGAGAGCAATACCCTAGTGGGAGCATGAGTTGACTATCACACTCACCTTGTCTTGGTCTTGGCTGCCCCATCCTGGGGGACTAAGGAATCTTAAGAGTCATATGACAAATTTCCGTACACTTGGCCATCAAGTGCCGTTCTGACCCACAGGGGTTTATCAGTCCGGTCTATTGCTCTAGGTTGAAAGGTTGCTTACAGTGAGCTTGTCATTTTGCTTTAATCTCAACTTCAGCACAGGTCATAAGGCACTCTGGGAGGAATGCCAAGGGAATCTGGTATGTGTGTGTACTGGAATATTTCAGTCATCAAATATTGTGTGAAATAAGTTGGCCATTAGCCAAAGATTGATCTTGTTAGCTAAACAGAAATTTGTTAGTGCCAATATTAGATGTGATGATATTTCTTCTTGAGGTTGATACCCTGTCTTGCTTTTATTTTCTGTCCCTGTCCTAATTAACACCTAAACATGACTGTGAGTTAGACTTCCAGCATTCAAAGACTTGGCAACCTCTATGCAGACTCTAAGGCCTCTCGTGTGTAATTCCACGAAGCACATATTTTTGTCTCATAGGCTCCAAAGCTGATACACAAGAATGAGTCACTTTTGCTAGTGAGTGAGCCTAGCTGACTGCCTGTCACCCATATTTAGAAATGACCTTATTGCTCTGTTTGTCCTTACAAGTACAGTGAATTCCCTACAGAAAGTGACATGGTAAAGAATACTGGAGATGGAGGTGAAGAAAAAAATGCCTTCAAAAAACTGTGAGGACATTTATTTATTTATTTATTTGAGATAAGATCTCATCATGCAGCCAGGGTTAGACTCAAATTCACAATCCTCCTGTCTCAGTCTCCTAAGTGCTGGGATTATAGACCTCTACCAACACATCCAGCAGAAAAAGAAATTTTCAATACATTAAACACTAAAGTGTAATTCAGTGGTCGTTTGAATCTATGATGTGAATGAGTTCCCCATGTGCTCTATACAAAAATAAGAAAAGGAAATTAGCAGAAGTGTGTAAGTGTTCCAGCCAGTGTGAAAATTGGTTTTATTATGGTATTTATGCAACCATTAAGGTTCGGAAGGGGGTCACTGAAAATATGCAGGTATACTTCTCTTACACTGTGGGGTGAAAATTACACGTTACCACTGTGTTTGTAAATTGGGGATTTTTAAGGTTTCAGAACACATTCTTAAAGAATGACAAGGTACTATTGTCCGTCATGTTTGTTTGATGGTACTCAGTGGTTTCCAGAGGGCTTTCATGGTCTCAAGGGATGTTGCTGGCAGCAGTCAGAGGCAGTGGGAGGAACGAGAGCTCAGCCCGTTTTTCCATGGTGCCTCAGGTAAATCCCTGTCCTCCTCAATTCTCCTCTCCAGGACGATGAGGATACGACTCCCAAGCCTCACTTGGCCCACTCGGGGCAGAACAGCTAATGCAAAAAGCCGCTGAAAAGTACAGTGGGTGCCTCCTGTGGGCTCAGCTTACTCATTCACTTCAGAAATATTATTAAAGTCTCTGTGTGCTGGAATCAGCACAGCACATGGACTAAAACAATGCCTCCTCATATAGGTGTGGTGGCGTGGGACCATAACCCCAACACTTGGGAGGCTACGGAAGGAGGATCAAGAATTAGAGGCTAGCCTGGGAGACTTGTTGAGTTCCATGCCAGCCTAGGCCACATAATGAGACTCTGTCTCAAAACATACCAGAATCAATCCCAGGCAGAGATACAGGTAGGGGAACGAAAGATCTTGGTACACGGCCGTGTGATTCCTACACTTAAGCTCCAACTACAAAGACTACAGAGACCCAGCCGACTACGCACAACTGGAAGGCATCTTTATTTCCTCAGCCATCACCTCCCTCCCCATTCCATCCTGGTTCTCATCTTCTGCAATCCAAAAGAACCTGACAGCAGGAACCGAGCCAGCCAGCCCCCTTTAACAAAATTTTCCACCGAGTCTCACAAAGCTCTGTTTTTCCCCCAAGGTATGGCCCCAGATTCTGGTCTGGGCAGAGGAAAAAAAAAATAATTGCAGCTGGTCGCTTACAAAAATAAACAAAGGGATGAGAGAAGAAGGAGGGGGGCAAGCTTGCAACTAGATGAGAAGGACCCATTATTTAACCTAATTACCTGCAGAGCCACATCTAGCCATTAAGAATCTATATCCTGTAATAGAATTTCCTGCCATGGAAATACTCACCCACGCACAGGATGTTGAAGCAGAAGCCCTGGCTGACTGACTTATTCACCAGCTGGTCAGGCAAGCTGTCAAACCCCACATGTCCAGCCAGGGGGACAGTTCGGCAACCTTCGCCCTAATTTGGAAAGGGAGGGAGGAGAGAAGAATGACAATGTGCTTAAAAGCCATTTGGATCTCCGCGCTCTATCCACATGCACTCTATCCTGGGCCAGGAAGTAACAACCACAAAGGCCCAATGTGTCATCTCTTCCCTCAGCCACCCCCCAACACACACACTCCAAAGCAAAATGGCCCATCAGCTTGGAAATCATGGGTGCTTGGGTACGGGTATCCAATAGGTTCAGTAAGAAATACCACTGTAGTTCTGGACAGGACAGAGTATGCGGGCAGCTTATCCAGGCTAGCACTGGATGTTCCAACTTGGATGAAATCTCAACTCAATCATTTAGAGGCTAGGGAACCTCTCGGGGACTCAGTTCCCTTCCACATCTATCACATGAGACAATACGATGTGTTTTAGAGGTGTCAAGAGGATACAATCTGCTTATTAATACTTATAATGAGCTTAATATGTGTACACACACTCAATACATATTCCAAAGCCCTTGGAAATCAGTGAATCTTCTTTCTAGGACACGTTGGAGACCCACAAAGGTGGCCCAGCGGAGAAGTTAAGAGCACAGATCTGGGCAGACAAGCAAATGTTCTTGCTGCCAAGCCTGATGACCTCAGCTAGATACCTGGGACTCACGTGGTGGATGGAGAGAATCAGTTTCCATAAGTTATCCTCTGACCTCCACACTTGTGTGGCACCAACACACACACACACACACACACACACACACACACACACACACACACACACACATACACACACACACAATGTAAAAAATAGTTTTTTAAAACACAGACTTTTGCCGGGCGGTGGTGGCACACGCCTTTAATCCCAGCACTCGGGAGGCAGAGGCAGGCGGATCTCTGTGAGTTCGAGGCCAGCCTGGGCTACCAAGTGAGTTCCAGGAAAGGCGCAAAGCTACACAGAGAAACCCTGTCTCAAAAAACCAAAAAAAAATAAAATTAAATTAAATTAAAAAAAATAAAAAATAAAAAAAAAACACAGACTTTTGAATCAGGCAGGTCTGAGTCAGAGGCCAAACTCTGCAGTTCAACCTCCAACAAGTTACTTAAATTCTCAGTCTCCCCCTTTTAAAGGCAGGAGTTAGTAGTTAATGTGCAGACTGCATAGGACCATACTCCTTATGCACAAAGCATACTGCTTGGCATGTGGAAAGCATCCAGATAGTAGCTGCCCTTATTACAGCGCTGTAAGGTTATCCTTGGACCCCAAGCTGGCCCATCATGCACTAAAACACTTGTAGCTCTCTCCAGCTTGAAGGGAACTGTCTCCAGGCTTCCTCTGGCTCCCTTGACTCCGCAGGGGTCAGCCAAGCCACTCCCAGCCCTGGAAAGCAGAGGGCCAAGACTTCTTATAGTAATGGTTTTATAAACAAGGAGAGTCTCAAACTGAGGCAGACTTCCAAGGAATCAAGGGGAAGGACGAAAAGGGCCTGCATGTACTCAAGACATATGCCAACTGCTAACGGTCACAGCCAAGGGTGGGGTGTCAGGAGAAAGGTGGGGAGTGGAAGCCGGAGGCAGCCGAGCTTCACAAAAATGATGGGCTATGGAAACAGGCAGGGATTCTGTGGGGCGAGGCTGCACCAAACTTTCCGTAACCAGCAAGATGCCAAGAGCAACCCAAAAGGCCATGGTTTGTGCCAGGAGGCCTGCACCAGCATCCCAGGCTGTGCCAGCAGGCAGCTCGTATGCTGACTGGACTCGCTGCTAGACTAGGTGTCACACCAAAATGGATGGGATGCCACAGCGGAGGAGCCGCTCAGCCACGGATGGAGTCACACGGCCCCTCCACCTAGTTGGGGCTGGGGGGAATCTCCTCGCTCCCACCAGTGTCACTGGATCCTCCAAGAGCTTGTGCTGGTGACTACCATCTGGCATGTTCATTCCCCTCTCACTTTTCTCCACACAAACTTCCAGCAGAGCGCACTCGAAAGACTGCCATATGCCATCAAGTCAGGTTGATGCAGCCTTTGCTCACCTAAAGACAAGGGGTTTCATGAGGGATGTACAACACTCTGCTCCACACTCACTTCACCCGTTTCCACGTCCCTTTCCCTACTTGCCCGTTTTTCTTTTTTCCTTAAAGCAAACAGTAAGCTGGAAGTTTACTGCTGTTGGTTCTCAGCCCTCGGCAAAGCAAAGAGACTTAAGAGCCAATATGCTCTCTCCAGGGAGCCTCCTACGTAGCAGGCCTCAAAATTGGGACAGACTCAGAGTTGAGGTTTCCTGAGCCATATTTTATCATCTCTTCCTGTCTCCAAATTCAGCACTATGAAACTTCAAGGGCTCTGAAGTCCCAGGAATTCTCAAGCTAAAGATAGCAGGCAGTGGGGGGAGCATCTTACCTTTAAAATTCACTTCACTGTGAAAGAATTCCCAAATATGAGGCCCAGGATGTAGTTCTGTTGGTAGAATGCTTGCGTGGCACACACAAAGCCCTAGGTTCAATTCCTAGCGCCACCTAAATGGAGCGTGGTGGCACACAACTCTAATCCGCACCCTCTACCACTCAGTTCTACAACTACACTGTGCTCCCAAGCCCAGTTCCCTGCTTGAGTCTCAAGTCAGTTCAGTCGACTTTAACCAGAATTTTCTTCCCCTCAAGGTGTGTGGATGTCAGCCTGCCAATTCAGTACCACTGGAGACATACCCTGCCCCTACTTTCTTGTTCTTCCAGTCACGTATCTGCAGATGGAATGAACTTTACGACAACTCCTGCATGTGGGGCTGGAGAGATGGGTCAGCAGTTACGAGCACTTTCTGTTCTTGCAGAGGCTTGGTTCCCTACACTCAATGTGGTTCCTAACTCTAGTTCCAGGGAATCCGCTGCCTTCTTCTGACCTCTGAGGGCACCAGGCACACCCATGGAGAGTAGACATATAGGCAGGCAAAACCCTCATCACCTAGAATAAATCTAAAAAATGTATTTTGAAATATTACATGGATCATGGCACTCCCTGCTCAAGACACCCCAAATTCCCCAAGCTCATTGCTTGTAGAGTAAATCCTATGTTCTTCCTTTTCCTGTTTGGGGGATCTTTATACTGCTGTAGAAAATAATGGTGGGTTCATGGTAGGTGTTTGGTAAATTCTCATTTGGGGGCAGGGTCTCAAGTAGCCCAAGCTTGTCTCAAATTCAACATATTGTAAAGTCTTACTTACACTGTTGATCTTTCTGCCTCTGCTTCCCAAATGCTCAGATTAGGTCTGTGCCGTCATACTCAGCAGAAATTATTAGAAAACACAGAAATTATCAGGAATAAAATAAAAAGCATCTATCATATTCTCATTCTCCCAAGATGAGCAATATGCGCATGGATTTCCTGCCAGTCAGTACACCTTTACTTAACAAAACAGGGACACTGTTATCTGTTCCTTGGCAGGATCTGACTTAATACCCTGACACTTAGTACAGATGTTTTCTTGAGTAACTAGGTATACTTCTTTTTTTGTTGCTTGTTTGGTTTTTTTTTTTATATGAACTTTTTTTCCCCAAGATTTATTCATCATGTATACAGTGTTCTGCCTGCATGTATGCCTGCAGGCCAGAAGACGGCGCCAGATCTCATTGCAGATGGTTGTGAGCCACCATGTGGTTGCTAGGAATTGAACTCAGGACCTCTGGAGAAGCAGCCAGTGCTCTTAACCTCTGAGCCATCTCTCCAGCCCTAGGTATACTTCTAAATTATTCATTTCCTTAGAGCAGCATCTTTTTGAAGATCTATTTTATTTTCAAAGACGCGCACTTGTGTGTATCTGTGTATGGGTATGTGTACAGGAGTGCGGGTGGAGACAAGGGGGCGCTGCTGAGTCCCTTGAAGCTGGAGTTAGAGGCAAATGTGAGCCGCCTGATGTGAGTGTTGGGGATCAAATGCAGATCCTCTGCAATGAGCTCATAACCACTGAACCATCTCTCTAGGCCCCAAATCAGTACTTTTATTGGCCATATAGCATACCCATGCAGGAACCTGCCACCTGTTCCTAATATAACTTCTACTACTGGACATTTGATGTGTGTCTCCAGGTTTTCTACTTAAAAAAAAAAAAAAAGAACAGTTGTTTTGTAGGGCGGTGAATGTCTGTATTTCCTAAAATTAAAGCCTGCTAGAACAAAGAGCCAGATTTATTTATTTACTTACTTACTTACTTATTTACTTACTTACTTTGTTTGTTTGTTTATTTATTTGGTTTTTTTTTTTTTTTGAGACAGGGTTTCTCTGTGTAGCTTTGGAGCCTGTCCTGGAACTCACTCTGTATACCAGGCTGGCCTCGAACTCACAGAGATCTGCCTGGCTCTGCCTCCCAAGTGCTGGGATTAAAGGCGAGTGCCACCACCGCCACCCGGTAGGGCCATATATGTTTGACATCTACTTATTCGCTTGTTTGTGTGTGGCAGCACACGTGCCACAGTGCACACGCGGAGGTCAGAAAGCAATCTGCAGTTACAGCCTCCTGTGTGGGTCTCAGGGGCCAAACTCAAGTGTTCAGGATTGGTAGCAGGTACCTTTACCCGATGAGCCACCTTGCTAGCTCCAAAGGTTCACACACTTTAAACACTGATTGATGCATGACTTAACAGAGGACAGTGCTACTGAGTGTTTCTATCACTACTATGTACATGTTTGTGTACCCATGAAGTTTCATGGGCTTCTATCTACTGTGAACTGATTCATTGGAAAATGGTATGGTACTCTTTAATTTGCATTTTATTAGTGATAGTAAACATTAAAAAAACCTTTCAGCTGTGTATGTGTATTGTGTATGTAAATTATCTAATCGTGCTTTTGCCCATTTAAAAAAATACATGTTTGTCTTTTCTCTTTGATTTGCAAGAGCCTTCCATGCATCAAGGGAAAGAAGATTTGATTTCCAGGTGAGATAGGTAAGAAAGTCAATAAGTAGTTAACATCGTGAGGTTTGAGGCCCAGACAGCACTTAAGGGTGCGATAGAAATTTGAGGAGTGAGAGAGAGCAAAT